TAAAATCTTAAGACTTTTCTAAATCTCCCTGGGCTTTTTTCTTCTTCTTCGATGAAGATGATGGTGATGATGACGAAGAAGAAGAAAAAGTTCTTCAATAAAGTTGAAGACCAGACAAAAACAAACTGTTGAAGATGATGGTGATGAAGATGGTGGTGAAGTTGATGATGGTGATGATGATGATGATGAAGATGCAGACACCAGATCTCTCCTCTGAGTCGTACTGAACCACTTACGGGACTAAGGCTGATATTAAATATGAAACTGCTGCTGCTAAAAATAATGACTTCACCACTTTATGATATGAAATATCATGGGCTCAGGTTTACACACACACACACACACACACACACATGCAGTGTGTGTGTGTGTGTGTGTGTGTTATCAGTAAGTCTTCTCTCTGTAATTGTTTTAAAGGACATTTTAATATAAATGTGTTGCAGTTTTAAACCTACTGCTGTTGTCCTCCCCCAACACCCTCCCCCCCCCCTCCCCCCTCCTCCTCCCCCTCCTTCTCCCTCACCTCCTGCTCTTCCTCCACTCTCCATCCGTCTCTGTCGCTCTTTATTTTCCATTTTTCAGAATAATTACCAAACCTGTTTATCAGCCTCACCTCCTGGAGAAGTGCTGCTGTGTTATTTCTCCTCTCTCTCTCTCTGTTGCTCTGTGTCTCTCGGCCACTCTCCCTCCATCACTAGTTTCCACCTTTATAAGGTTAGCACTGACGTAGATTGAAATCCATTGCAGCTTCTCTCCAAATCCAATTGTGCGTGTCGTCTTTTTTTTCCTCCTGATGCTTTTATCTCTGCTCGGAGTTTTTTTTCCTCCTCCCAGGAGCGCGGTGTTAACGCCTCTGTAAATGCACAGCCACTCACCTCCTTATCTTCCTCTTCTGTCTCTATCTGATCCACCTGACGCTGCCCTCCACCCCCTCTCCTCCCCTCCTCCCCCCAACCGCTCTGAGCTCAGGCACCAAACTAATTTAGAAAAACTCCAGCCTCTGGTCTTGTTTTTTTTTTTTTGATTCATACATTTTTAGCCACAGCGGCGAAAAACATCAGGTCGAAAACGTCACTTCAAACTTCAGACTCCAGAGTGGAGTGGAACAACTGGACCTTCACTCAGACCAAGACTGAGACCTGGACCTGGACCTGGACCTGGACCTCTCTGATGAATGTCAACATTAACTGGGATGTGAACTTTGACCTTTCAGGAGCTGAGGTCAGAAACTCAATATAAGGGTTGTCAAATTAAATTGATCTGTGACAGAAGAACAGCAGAGGGCAGTAGTGAGGCCTTCTCTGAAGTCTGGGTCTAAAAGACAGATGAAGGTGAAGAGGTGGAGGTTCCATTCAGTCGACCTCTAGTCATGAACTATTCTCAGCAGCCAAAACACCTGAACTGTGCCTTTACTGTCAGCCGGTCCCTGCTGCCGTGTTCCCAGGCCGGCGTGGCTTCTGCTGCTCTGATGAAGACGTAGATACGTTAACCCCTCCCTCCCCCCGTCTCCCTGGCTCCGTCTCCAGCCTCCACTCCTCCGTCCGCCCCCTTCATCAGAGCTGAGGTGATTACAGCAGACACTGAGTTAATGAAGAGCCAATGGAACAGGAGAAGGATATTCATCTGCTCTGCTCTCTCTCACACACACATTTTCTTGCGTCTTTATTTTTAATGGCGGTGTCTCCTCCGTCCCTCCCTCTGTCCCTCCCTCTGTCCCTCCCTCCTCCTCCCTGACGCCCTGGTGTGTGTGTGTCCTCCTGGACTGTTCTTAAGTGGAAGTTCATTTTGGACACAGTTTCAGAGGGTTCTCTGTGACCAAACACTGAGAACTACACCGTCAGTTCACAGACAGCACAGACTGATCACTGACCTCACTGACCTCACTGACCTCACTGACCCTGGTCTACCTGCTAACCTGTCGCTGTAGGAGTACTGTAGTGTGGTTGCTATAGTAATCACAGTGTGGCGGTGTAGTGTTACATGTTTGTAGTAGAGTGTAGTAGAGTGTAGTAGAGTGTAGTAGAGTTTACTATGGTATGGAGTAGAAAAACAGGGCAGTTGAGTTTGATATAGTGTGATATACTGCAGTAAAGTTAAAGTAGTTTAAGGTATGAAGTACCTTAATGTGTACTGTTGTCTAGTAAAACCTGCTGTAGTACATGAGGGGGGGGGGGGGGGGGGGGGAGTCCTAACTATGATAAATGACATGTAACAGTCATGCTAAAGGTTAAAATACTAAAATACTAAAATACTTTTATCATTTTCTGCGCCATCTATTGGGTAAACGTGGGTGTTGCAAGAAAAAAAGGCAGAAGTGAAATGATAACGTGTACAAATTGTATCATTTGGAAAAGTACAGTGGCCCGGATCAAAAAGATCAGCGGGCCACATCTGGCCCCCAGGCCTTATTTTGCCCATGCCTGGGTCCATCACTGGTCCATGTCCTGAGAGGACACTGGTCTGGACCTGAACCAGTTGGTCCAGGGTCGTACTCTGGGGCTGTAGCTGTTCAGTAACTCATGAAGGTGTGTGTGAAACCACCAGACCGGTGAACAACAGTCAGACTCTCACAACAGTCAGACTCCTGGTGAAACACTGCAAAATATTTTGTTTTTCTTTTTAAAAATGAAAGAAAATCCCTCAGGGATAAAACTCTGAGATCCTCCCACACAGAGACTCACAGGAGGACAGACGGAGGAAATATAGACACATATATTTATGGACATGTATTTATATGGACAGCTGCTGCTGGGGAGGGGGGGTGTGTGTGTT